AAATAATTTTTCCCATTCGATATTAGTAGCCCAATTCTGTATTGGTGACAAGAAATTGCTTAGTGACAAATTTAAACTTTTTCATATATTTTTACGTAATAAAAACTGTGACAAAAATTTGGCACTGATACAGAATAGTGCCGTAAATCGTCAACATCACTGAAGCGGGCTGTTACAACTTAGGCCACTCGGTGCATTGCGTGCCAAACAAGTAACGTGCAGTAACTTTGGGTAAAATACCTTCAGCATTACATAATCATATCTTTAAAACTTCAAAGTCCTTTAAAAAATTGATTTTTTTGTTTGGAAATATGAATGTCGCTCTTAGATTTATTTATTGACTTTTGCTCAACTTTTTTGATTCCCGACCAATGTTCGGTGCATAAATGAAGGTCAGCTTGGCTTATTTGGCTAACTCCGTGTGTACTATAACTATTCGTTTACTTACACTCAACCTATGTCACAAAACTTTCTTATATCTTTCTTCGTTTTTGTTACATTCATTTATAATTTTTATTATATTCATCAATTTACAAATTTCAATTCCACAACAGCCTTAATGCCACAAACCAAGTTTTACAATTCTCGAGACATAGCCTGCCAATATTCAACATAAATCACCGACACACAAAAAAGTGGTTTGTACTTTTTATCCAGACCTACCGACATACATACATGTAATTCGACCCGCTGAATCCAAATCCGAGGTCCGTTAGACCTGTACACCCTTAAAAATTCCGAGTAAATTGCGGAAAATAGCGAATTTTTGCCTTTTTCCCCGTCCCTCCACACTCAGTAAAACTCCTGAAGTTCTCTCACTCCTTTTTGAGGCAAACTTCAATCTAGCTGAAATGGTACTAGGCAAAAATGTTGCCTGCCTACTTTGATTATAAGGTTTCAACAATTACTCCAGTTTGCAGCGAATTGTACAGTGTAAATAGCTATAATGTAGCTCCATGAAAATTTTCAGTGATGGCTCTTAGCTAAATAGTAAAGGCGGCAGCAACACCCATTCGATATAACTACTTCTGAGCATTAGCCTGCATCTACCCGACTACTGTGGGCTTCCAAGCTGAATTAAGATATATGTATAACGAAGGCTGCTTGCTCTCCTGTAATAGAATACTCCATCACCGTTTACTCTTAAAAACAAGGTTTAGAATTAATACCTACTGTCATGGGCGTAGCCAGGTAGGGGCCGGGGGTTGCTCGAGCCCCTCCCTAACTTTCAAATTTTCCTTATATATATAAAAAATAGTACCCTGAAATGCCAGCTTAATAGGGTCGAGCACCCCCCTAAATTTCATTCTGGCTACGCCGATGCCTACTGTGCAATAATCTGTTTTTAGTGAACGACACAGCCACAGGTGGGCCACGAATTTGTGCAAACGGATCTCTGTCTCTGAGTTTCCCTTGATCGTCTCTCCATCAACTAAAATAATGAAGGGAATATACGAAGAGTGTAAAGGCTTCCTCTCTAATTACTTCTACGTTAGTTGCAGGAACGAGAAGGCAAAGAGCATCGAGCACTTTCTGCCGCTGCCCTCCCTGGCTTGTTCTAAGTACGGCCCCGTACTTTGAAGCATATCTTAAACGATTGCCAAACGGACTAAGAATGCTTTAGTTGGCAAAGTCCTCTCCGCTGTGTACGGAAAAATTAGTGGATCGTTTATATGGAAAATTAGACCAAAATTAGCTTCGCACTTTCTTCATTTTATGTTTTTTCCCTACATTCAATAAGAATGGTGAATTCACACGCCTCGGCAAGGTAAATGACAAAGATGAGCTCTCCAATTTGTAAAGTCGTGCAGGTGTCATGCAGACGTTATCGGCAGTTTGTTTTCTTTAAACACTCTTCTGTCTAAATATCCTCATACAAAAATTACTTTGAATACACTTTTTTCTGCACTTCGCAGATGCTTTCTCGAATTCAGGACAAATAGAATAAAGATCGAAATTTTATATTATCATTTTGATATTATGTCTGATGGAATTCAAATAAGGGACCACCTACAAAAGAACATGTAAAGAAATAAGCAAATATGTAATGCTAAGTAACGTAAATAAATAAAAACGTAGAAACAATATTTTTTATTGATCTTTTATGTCCAAAAGTAGTTAGCTAAAAGTTAATTAGTTAGTTGACATCTAATGCACTCACTTTTTTGCGACCATCGATCGGCCTTCAAAAGTAGTTAGTTACGGCCGAAGGAAATAAGTAATGGAAAGTAATAACTAGTTGACTGCTGGGTAGTTAATAGTTAGCTATAAACTAGCCCCGTTTCATGCAGGGTATATGTATATAAATGTTCATAAGTTTATGTACGTATACATTCATATGTATGTATTTATCTAATACATACTATGTATTATTTACATACATATATTCTATTTCTTTCTCATAGAAAGTTCCATTATTTCCAGTTTACTTAACGCAATGAAGTCAGGAATGTAAAATATGAACCAGCTCCTTGCAATATCTTTAATGGGACGATAAAGAGAATGCACAAACCATTAGTTTCTTATTTACTTACATACATACATATATTTCTTACCTTCAATACAGCCGTCAAAGAAACGCTAAAATAATTGAGTCCAGACAAAGTAAATGGCTTCTGACTGGTACCAATCGCCAGCACCAGTAATTTCATCAAACGTACATTTGCATTCGAATCCTTGGACTGATGTATAACCAATTCCCAGCTGGATTCGTAAAAGGCCGAACTTATTTGATTGGTCTGACGGAAAAGACAAATATCAATTCCATAAAGTTAGCAGTTCAACTCTTAGCTTACTGTGGCGATCAGTGTCGAGCCTAACTGACCGATCAACAACATTTCCATCACCTTAGCACAGATCCAAAACATAAAACCAAAACTGCTCATCGGATTCTAAATTCGATAGACCGAATATCGGGCTCCGTTCAACAAGTCACTTTAATTTTTCCAAAATGCACTACTCACCGTGTACACTTTGAAGCCCAAAGCACACAGCAGCATCGCACTAAAGGATAAATTGGTGAATATGCGAAAGGAGAATTCGCGTTCAAACTCTTTGGCGAATTTGTACAATCGTTCGTTCTCCCGAATAGCCTCTACGATCTGGCGACTAAGATCATCTGCAACATTTTTACCATTTGCCTCGTCCAGCAGACGTTTAGTATCGTCACGCAACTTTTGCTGCAACAACAGGAAGCGTCCGTTCAAATGTAACATCACTTCGGACAGTAAGTTGTCTTCGCCCGATATCGTTGTTATCACAATGAGACCAACCCAAATATTCGAGAACACAATAGCCACATAAATGGCATAGGGTGTGATATCAAATGGATAGTACATTTTATAAAGTGGTTCCTTTGCATTGTTTAAGTTGTTGTTCAACAGAGTTAGAAAAAACGATGACAAGGTCATGTAATATAAAGCCGAAAAAAACCAAATCGGACGCAAGCGTTGCTGTATATTCGCATAGAGTTTGGGATGAGAAGATCTGCCAAAGACAAAACACGAGTATACATACAATATATAGTTGCTTAGTGTTTTACCCACTTGTCTACATAGACTTCAGCATAGAATTTTTTGAGGAATGTCTTGAAGTCGTCCTTCTTTAAGCCCTGCTGGAAAGCACGAATATGGATTTCTATCAAAATCAAATATTCTGGCACACAAGTTAGCATCTGATCCAAATCATCTCTATTCACAACAATGTAACGCAGCTCAGCATCGTTGTGTTGCATGAATATGACGAAGCACAACCACCAACAGAAACGATCGAATAGCCGCTCCGGTAGATTTGCCCCATCACGAAGTGGCCAACAAATATTGTTCAACAATCTATAGGCAGCTAAGGGCCAAGAGAGTGGAATCAATTCTCTATTAGATACATTTGGACGATACAACATTTCGGCGTTGGTCACAAAACGTTATTGAGCTCCAGAAGATAATGAGTATTTCTTTTAACGTACGCTGTTTCACATAAGCACAGTGGGACATATACAAAAGTATACATACATAAATACACGCATATAATTGTAGGTGCATATGTATGTGGGCGACATAATTAAGTCATTACATACTGTAATTTGTTTGGTCTAAAAGTTTGTTGTGAACTTTTGACAAATTTTGTTTAGGCAATAGGAATTTTTTATTTTGACTTTCTTGAACTACCCAATTGGAAATATTGAGCATAAACCAGCAGAACACAATCGTTAAAGCCATGGAAGAATACCTTGGGCAGAAAGACTTCGTGACCGCGGTGTCTTGCCGCACTGCAGCCCCATACCTGAGGATTCGAACCCTCCCCCATTAGAATCCTTCGCGGAAAAGTTAAAACAAACGCCGCACTGCACTTTGTTGGTACAATCTCGTATGGCGCGTTTGCGTGTGCCGTAGTGGTGCCGTAATTCCAAAACCCCGATTTTTTAAACACTACCGAATACAGTCATTATATAAAGTGCTTTTTCTAAGCATATTACATCAACTGAGCTGTCTCTGAATAGCCATAAAACCGAACCAAAAGTACAATGGTTTTTTCAAACAAGTTATTGTTTGGTATTTTCGTTGTTAATACACCGGTTGTAAGAAATGTGATTCAAGCTGAACATTTGAAAACAAATTCGTATGCCTAGCTGTGGCTCAATGCGCAGAGGTGCTTGCTGTTATTTGTTGTCGCCAGCAGGTTCCAGTGCGAATGCCGTCAGCGGCAACACATAATTTTTATTTCTTTTCTGTTTTTGGTTTTTATTAACTACGAAAAAGCATCTGTGAAGTGCGGAACCAAATCAAACGACGAAGAAACCTGATTGAAGTTGAACATTTGAAGAGACATTTATAAGCATTTTCAAACGAAAAAATCGACGTTGATTCGTTTTCAAGTTTGAATTTGGTAATATTAACCAATTTTTGGTTGATTTTTTTCTCATTGTATCCAAAATGATAACCAAAAGCAAATTATCACCCTCGCTCTTCTGTTTATACTAATTTAAATTTTTTCGCTCAACAGAAATAATTACTATCTGATTTTTATTTTTTCGATCCCAAACAACGATTATTTTTTTATTTTTATTACTCGCTGAGAGATAGTAATTATTTCAACAGTATTATTGAGCTTTGTACCACGATTTGTTTGTTAGGAAAAATGCAAGAAAACAACAAAGCTTAAGCGGTAGAAGTTATAGCAGCTATTTCGGAGATCACCACATCTCATCAGACTTCTCTTTTTCCAGACTTTCAGCAAGGATCGAACCCGCATCATCGATGTGCAAAGTCAGAAGCGCCAACCACTGAGCTATGCACACCCCGTCAGTCAGCTCTTGTAGCTAATCCATTTCCTCATTCAACCTGGTACTATCAAGTGCAGCTGATTCGCCGCTATGTAAGCTTGACAGCGTGGTTGTTATTGTTAATTTCAATATGCCACTTAAAAATAATGATTATTTATTAAAGGCCTGCAAATGTTGAACTACAAAACATAGCGACATGTCAACATCATGCAAGTGCCAGTTCATATTATGTCGCTCATACATGTTTCACAATAACATATGAAGACACTGTCGAATAATTGAAATCAAATCTGTGCATGTCAACACAAGCAACACATGCGACACATGCAACATAGTCGGCATTATCAATTACATTTTATATACGGGAAGAGATTTTGTAATTTTTTTAAGCAACTATTATAGTAAAATGCATTAAAAATGCATTGTCTAATTAAAAACCTGTATATATTTTCATCCAAGGCAGGATCAAACAATATTAAAAAATATGCTACGGAAGCACAACAGCGAACAACAGCTTAGCTAAGTAGCAACGACATGCTAAAACAGTATGCTTGAGATGGAATGACATGGCATAACACCTTGTTTGAGTTGACATGACATAGCCATGCATGAAAGTTTTGAAAAAGACATTTTTACAGAAAATGTTGAATTTTGCAGTTCTTTATTATTTAGAAAATTTAAGAATCCATACAGACACAATCAACTGAAGTTTTGACCTGAAAATTTTGGAACTTATTCCTTTTATTAAGGTTTCGCTACCTCTGAAAAGTATACGTCGGAAATCACGCCGTTTTTGAGTTTTTTGAATGATCATTATTTTTAAGTGAAAAAATAAAACTCAATAATAATTATTACCTTTATTTTGGTTAAAATTTAAAAAAAACAATGATTATTTTCCGTCCCTGTTTATATCAAACGTATTAATATTTATAATTTCCTGTAGAATCTTGAAGAATAAGACATAAAATAAAAATGGCGCAGAAATTCGGAAACATTGAAAATTCGGCAAAAATTCTTAGAGCTTTGACAGCTGTTGTAAACATTAAAGTGTCCAAAATAACGGTTAGCAGAGTCGAAAAAGAAGACACATATTCCTTCTGCCTAAAATGAGAAACAAATCCCCAATGGATAAAAGCATAAACAGACGGCAGCGGTGATCCGGATCAACTCGAGAATTAACTGCAGTTGATTCGGATTAAGTCCGAGTTAATCCGGATCATACAAAGAAATACGCCTTTGCTGGAATTAAATTTCAGAATACACACATGCATGTGGTACAAATCTTCCTAAGATCACTAAAATTTTGTGCATACTCCCCAAGGGCATCTTAATTTGATATTTTTCGTCCAAAAACCATAACCTAAATTAATCAAACCAATTTTTACAAGCGTTTATTTAACTTGCTCATCCCCTGGAAATTTCCAATCGATTTTAACTAACTTCCCGGCAAGCTGGAGACTTGAAACTTTCAACATACTTCTAATCAGAATGGCAATGCAATTTAAAGGGTCTAGAGCATCGGTTCCCACTAGTGGATCGCAAATCGATCCTAACAAAAAAAAAAAGATAACAAAAACATAAGATTAAAAATAACAGTCCCAAAAATCTCATTAATATTAGTTGTCCGAAGTAGTCCGAAGTAATCCAAAAAGTGTTTCTTAACTTGAAAATGACAGCCAAAATGAGAGAGCAACTGTGACTCTCTTCAGTCCGAAGTAGTCCGAAGAATTTTTGCTGGCAAAATCTTGAAAAGTGTAATGGTGCATTTACATGGTATGAATCTGTTCATAAGCCGTATGAATTTTCCTATAAAAGAAGCACCAACTCTATGAAGAAATGAATGAAAGCGATATATATTTAACAATTTTGACTTGTATACTAGACAATATTTTTTTTTGTAAACAACAAATAAAAGCATTTTATTTTGTGTTAGCTTCGAAACTAGAAGCTTATTTTTTTGTTAAATGTGCTTTAAAAAGGACCTACTGCCAATAAAGCCTTGTGGATTGCTATTTTTCCATATTTGTAATGCTTCCATTTAAACATCTTTGTGGAAAAACAGTTTTTTGTTCAGAATTGCTTGTTTACGAAACGTTTGGCATAAGTTGAAATCATAGGGATGCCGTTTTCTTCCGTTTCTCAGTGGATTTTATACTTGAATGGGCACCAAAATATGTATGCAATACTTCTACATATCTTCGTTTAAAGCACAGAACCGCGCATAAAGGAAATGCAAAACCTCGTATGGGAGGTTGCCTAAATTTTAAAAACGGTTCTATCTTTTAAACTTAATAATCTTCTCTCCTTATGTGTAAGTCGATATTTTATTATATCGATATTTTATTATAAATGGCTAAGGGCTTGATGTCAGGAGCTTCCGATGACCAAATATCTTTTTTGGCGCAAATTTCAGTTCCGAGGTTTTGCAGATCCACGATACGCGCTTTTGTACTTTAAACGACGAATATGTATATCGCTTGAACAATATGTTAGTGTTTGCCTAGCTTCTCCCCCGATATGCGGCGTGCGCGATTTTGTCACACAAAGTAAAGGACAGTTTTACGCCGACTCCGAACGGCAATTGTATTTTAATGAGAAGTTGTTTCCATGACAGAATACACTCGGAGGTTTACTATTACCAACAGAGGGGCAACCACTATTAGAAAAACTGGGCTTGAACTCAGGCTCTGCGTAATGCTCTACAGCAGCCGGCACTACTTTTACATATATTGCTGGTATATTCAAAATACTATCCCGAACTTCGGAGTGTATATATGTAATATAAAAAAAGAATGAGAGGTACTATTAGAAAATGTACCCAAAATTCTGGAGCAAATGAAAAAATGCTCATTGAAAATAGTTCACATGTATAAATTAAAAGATATAACTTAATAGGTTACAGCGCTAAACAAAAGGAAAAGTTAGAAAAAATAACAATGCGGTTTGAAGGAAACATGAAGCCATAAAATGCTTGTTTGTTTCGTTAATACTCTGAACTTTGTAAGATATGGCACTGTATTATTTGCAGTAGTTTGCAAATATTCACTAATGGTTCTAAAATCGCAAACATTTTCGTGGGATGTTTTTGTTTGATTTCGAATTGAAAATACATTACGATCATATTGTACCGAAATAAGTGCGGTATCCCTGCATTTTTGTAAAAGCCAGAAAGAAGCATAAACTGTATGAAAAAATGAAAGGGAGAAGTATACATGCCTTCTATAATTTTGACTTATATGTATATTTGGCAAGTCTTTGTGTAAACAACAAAAAATACAATTTTCATTTCTTTTCCAGCTTGGAAAATATAGGCTTATTTTTACTTAAACGTGATATAAAGCTCATTAAAATGTTCTGTAATGTCTTGTTGTAAGTTTGTTATCATAGTTCTTCGTATTTTTATTGTCCACTAAACGTGAGTGGCTTCAATTTAAAAAGTTCTAGTACAAAGAATTTTTTTGTTTTGAATTTGTTTGTTTATTGTTTTTAATTTTTAAAATTCATACTTTTGACATGTATGTGAATGGCGGAGTTGCCGCTTTCCTCCTTTTCGGGGGGTTTTTATATTAAAAAGGCATCAAAATGGGAAAAACCCCCCTTGGTATCTCTGCATCTGTTAAACTTTTTATGGGAAGATGTATGAAAATTCAACTTGCTATAATTCATATGCTTAACAGTATCACAACAGTATGTTTACAGTATCTCCCCATAACTTTTCATATGAAAAAATTTATTATATGCATCCCACTCCATATCATTGAATTCCTCCTTAGAACATGTAGTCCCTCTATTTTAGCGTATCAACAGTTCATATGGCTTCATACCATGTAAATGCGCCATAAAACGCAACTGAATTTAAATTAACGGAAATTAAAGAATAAACAACGAAAAATTAGAATGATCTAAAAACTAACAAGTAGTGTTTTATCAACAAATAAAACCGACTTCAATTCTCATGTAAAACTTTAAGATTACCGATAATTTCTTCATAATCCAATGATCGGATTTAAATCAAATTAGTATAGGACCACTTGTGAGATAACACTTTTCCTTTAAAAAAAGAATTATAGAAATCGGCTAACATACATAAAAAAATAATAATAATAAAAATATTCCGGTGAATTGATAACCTTTCCTTTTTGTGAAGTATGGAAGGAGGCAAAAAATAATGGGTATAGTAAGCGTTTATTGTGATTATGCTTGTATGAATGTGTTTTGTACATACATTTCTATTTTTATTTGACATTAGTTTTGTGGTTGCCATTCTTTGGAATACAAATTTGGCTTTTTATGTTTCTTTGCTTTTTCCTTTTATTCTCATTTAGTGAGCGCATTGTCCTTCCTTTCTTGCATTTTGACACTTTTCAGATTTTAGTCAGAAAAGATAAGGAATGGACCTATTGTGTTCTTACTTAAAAAAAGGCAATTTTACAATTTCGCACATAAAAAAAATAATAATATATTCGCGAAACTATGGGCCACAAATTATGTAACTCGGTTTTTAGTGTTTCCCTCTGACGTCAGGATTTTTCTTAAGAGGATTTTGAATTTTTTAAGATATGATTAATTCAAAAAAATATTTAAAAAACTCAGTGCAATAAAGAATAATAATGTGGGTATCATATAAAATAGAAAATTCTGTAGAATTGAAAAAGTTTTTAGTGAATAAGGACAAATAGATACTGAAAAACTCCTTTTGAATTTTATTCTTGAATATCCTTGAAAATTTGCAACAAGTATTTTTGAAAAAAAAAAAATGTATTTTAACGACCACATCCTCTAATCCTTCTAACTTAATTAGCTTTAAAAAAAATTAATCAAAAGGACATTGTCAATACCTGTTCGTCCTTGTGAACCAAAGGACTTACATTTTTCTAATTCTACAGAATTTTCGCTTTCCTTTGGGACCCATATTATTATTCCACACAGGACTGAATTTTTTATCACTTTTTTTTTGGACTCATCATATTTTCGAAAGTCCTTTTGAAAAATCCTAACGTCAGAGAGAAAATTTCAATGGAAATCAGGCATTATAGCAAACTAATTGGAAAAGTTTCGTTTTATTGGATAGGAAATAAAACAACCTTTTCTCCTATATTTCACGTACTTTCATACTCTCCCGGCTGTGTGCGGTCACTAAATCGTATCCGTATTAAGGCTAGAAAGAAACTTCTTCCCGGCGGATTGAAATTCATATCTAATATTATATTGCCAGTCTATATGCAATATTTGATGGTAAATAATACATACACAAGGAAGGGATGGGATACAAATTTTGGGTTCTTACTTCAACATGGACCGGTGGACCGTAGAGGTATTACGATAAGGAAAGATGGGACGCCAGTTGTAAAAGGTTGGGAACCACTGGTTCAGCCTATTTGTGGCATGCGCATTGATGTTGTCACACAAATTGTTATTAACTTTCATTAGAACTTGAGTAATTACCTTCAACATTTGGCTTCGAGTAACTTTAGCCCGATGTTCTTACCCCGATTTTTGCAGTGATTTAGTCCTGAATCGAGTTTTGGAAGTCCGAACACTGTTCTTTACATTTTTACTGTTTTATACATAAACCTCAAACCGCAGTGTGGACAGCAATAGTTAGTGATGTGGTTAAGTTCGATTTGAGATGGTTAACTTTTTGGTGGGCACATGTTATTATATTTTCAAAAAATGTCACTTAGACCGTTATGATTCTAATCCCTTCATATGTAACTTATGCCGAATATCCGCTAAGCATTGAAATTGCAAAAAATTGGTGCCATTTAAAAAATGCCATGTGGAAATGAATTTAATCACTATTTTTATAACGTAATGGCACGAATATTTTTAATGGCTAACTTGGTCATTTAATGGCCAGCCAATTAATGCAGAGTGGAAACCCAGCATTATAGATATATTTTTTTATGTTTACACTATTGTAAAATTTTACAGTCATAAGGTTTTGTAAGATTTATTACGGCCCTAAGGTTTATAAGGGAAATCGAATTAGTTTAGAAGCCAAGTAAAAAAAAAATAAATAAAACAACCAATTTTGGTTAAAAACAGCAATAGTGACTTCTATTCATTTTACGTTTGATAGCGGAATAGTGTTGATACTACCCTCTGCTAGATGTCGCTGAATGCATCCGCCCAATGTTTGTATTGATCGATACTCGGTACCGATTTAAAAAGTATCCAATACTTTCGATACTCGGTACCGAAATGTTTAGGCTTCCAATAAGAACGCATGTAGACCAAAAATAATAGCGGTTTAGGGGAGCCTAGCCTATCAAAAGCAAGTGTAGGGGCTAATTAAGGTTTTAATTTGCATTTTCCATCGCCACAATGCAGAGAAACTCTTCCTTATTTGAAGTATTTATTTCTAGATGAATCGGACGATGTTATCTTTGTAGGCCTTCCTTCATCCGTCAAAGCATTTTTCTTAAATTTTAGATCTACGAAGGTGGAAACTGATAAAATGGTAGCTTACTGTTGCGAAAATATTAAGAAGACGATGAATGTTTTGATATGTGGTTCCCACATTGCTTGGTACAAATTGTTTTTTTTGGGAAACCATCGCCTTTCTCGTACTAATTGTGAAGCATATTCATAGTCGAAATAAAGTCGATGTAACTTTTTTGACAGATATTCTATAGAGAATTATGTCAAAAAGTTGCAATCATGTATAGAGTCGGTATTGGGTACCGAGAAGAAAGTATTGGGTACCGAAATCTTTCTGAAGTAATGGGTGCCGAGTATTGGGTACCGAAAATTCACAACATCACTAATCATAGACATTCTCTGGCCTGACATTTGCTTCCATTATCGCTTCATCATAGTATAATTTTTACAACTGGGCAAGTTTACGATTTACTAACGCCAGACACCAGTGTTATTATTTTAATCAGGCCATAGTAGTAGTTCGAATTCTTAAAAGGATTTGATATACGCACGACTAAAATGGCAACAACGCTCAACGAATACAAACTAAGTTGCGAATTGCTTGGTCATTCTATGGATGTACGCTCTGTTGCGGCCGGTGAGGACACAACGGAAGGGCAAGTTATAATTTCGGGCTCTCGCGATAAAACTGTGAAATTATGGAAACGCATGGGGTGAGCCAATTATATATTAGTTTTTCTATGCCCACAGTGAAGATAATGAACATTTAATTTAGTGAAGCATATGCGGAATCTGTGACTTTTCAAGACCACAAAAATTTTGTTGCTTGTGTTTGCTACATTGAAGCGGAAAAGTGGATTTGCACTGGTAGTAATGATGCCACAGTCGCTATCTACAAGGAGGCCGGTTTTGTACCAATCTTAACGCTCAAAGGCCACGAATCCACCGTATGTTCAATAGCAGGAGGCGCTGAGTCGCAAACACTTATCACAGGTAGTTGGGATAGTACGGCCCGAATTTGGACTATCGATCAAAATGGAGGTGTAACTTCAGTGGTCTTGCGTGGCCACGAAGCGGCAGTCTGGTCAGTCGCTTGCTTGGCAGAAGTAAAAAAATATATCACTGGAGCCGCGGACAAGTGCATATACTACTGGAATGCCAAGGGTGAAAAGTTACGCATGTTAAAAGGGCACACGGATTGTGTACGTGGTATTTTGACTTTAAATAATAATTCGCTGGTTTCCTGCGCTAATGATGCGCTTATAAAGTATTGGAATGAAGACGGCGAATGCGTGCAAGAATTGAGTGGTCATACAAATTATATTTACTCATTAGCAGCTAATCGCGCATTGGGTAAAAATGTAATAGTATCCTGTGGCGAAGACAGCACTCTGCGCATGTGGGACTTGCAAAATGGCCAAGAGTTGGGCGATGCTATTTTACATCCCGCACAATCTGTTTGGTCAGTAGCTTGTCTTAACAATGGCGACATTGTAACTGGTTCTAGTGATGGAGTAGTTCGTGTATTTACGAAAGATCCCGCACGTTATGCCAGCGAGTTGACTATGAAAGCATTTTTGCATGCCGTTGAAACAAGGAAAGCTCAAATGAGCGACGAAATCGGTGGCGTTAAAAAGACTGAGTAAGATTTTGGTTTTGTTTTATGGTTAATAAATAAATTAGTTAAATTTTTTAAACATACTCTGTTAGTTTACCAGGTCCTGAAGCTTTACTTACGAACGGTACGCGAGAAGGACAAACCAAAATGGTGCGCCACCCCGATGGTTCAGTGAAATGTTATACCTGGGGGTTAGGTGAATGGACTTTGGTTGGTGATGTTACTGGTGCAACAGGAGGCACGCAAGCCACTTCCGGAAAAGCTTTGTATGAAGGCAAAGTATGTTTTTTTTTTGGTATCTTTTCATATAGCTAATTGAAATGCAATTTTGAAATATAATTGCTTGGCAGGAATACGACTATGTGTTTTCGGTCGACATCTCTGATACAGAACCGCCGATAAAATTGCCTTACAACCGTGGTGAGGACCCTTGGCAAGCAGCGCAAGCATTTATACATCGTAACAATTTGCCACAGGCTTACTTAGATCAAGTAGCTAACTTCATAGTAAAAAATTCGAGTGGTGCTTCTAATATGTCGACTCAACCCACCACCAGGTAAGTAAAAGCAAATAGTGCTAAGAAAAAAATTTTAATCTTTATATTATTTTCCAAGTGGGTATCAGGATCCATTCACGGGGGGATCAAGATACGTCCCTGGTGGTGGTAACCAAAATTATAACTCGACAGGTAATGTTGACCCATTTACCGGTGGTTCAAGCTACTCTACTACAAATTCGCATTCAAAACCGGAAGTCAATTTCATTAAAGGTAATGTGTTAATTATGTAGAATATATATACATTCATAAATGAAATATTATTAACCATCGTGTTAAAAACCTAAATATGTCTTTACTAATTATCAAATTCAAATTATTATACCTTATTTTATAAATTACCTGATATTTTCAAAGTAAGTAAAAAATAAATTGAATTATTTTTATACTTTCCAGGCAGTGAAAGGCACTTTCCCGTCCGTAAATATTTAACTTTCGACAACTGCGATTCCGCCAAAGTGCTGGACAAATTGAAGTGAGTATTATGGGCCATCTCAGTGCCTATGTACACAACTGTTCAGACTTGCTTACATATTTCTTCCTTTATATATAGAGAATTTAATAATAAGCTAACTAATGAGAGCGAAAAGGTTTCGGAAATATTGTTAAACGCGGTCATAGCCCTAACTGCTCCTACGCCTGAAGTAGACACTAACTCAATTGAAGCGTTGCAGCATTTGTTACGTTGGCCCAATGGTATGTGTCTTTAAGTTCGAATAATCAATAAATCCATTCGATATCTTATTACTATTCAACTTAAATTTGCAGACATTCTTTTTCCCGTACTGGATGTGTCGCGTTTGGCAATACGTCATGAGCCGATCTTTTCCATTTTAAACTCATATAATTTCCTAGATACCATACTGCCGAACTTTAAATCCTCTGCCGCAAATACTTTAATGATAGTGCGTTGCTTAGCAAATATAATGTGCCACGAAACAGGCAGAAGGCAAGTCCAACCACGATTGGAGACCATAACTGGACACATAAATGAGATAAAGAGTGGAAGCGCGAATTTGCAAATCGCCATTGCAACCTTTTATTTAAATGTTACAATATCGCAAACGCTTAGCGTTGCAAGCAGCGAATGTTGTCGTGTGGTAACTGAAGGCATTGTGGAATTGCTGAAATGGGCTACTGACTTGGAGGCATGTTATCGCGCGTTTCAAGCCATTGGCAATTTAACAACTACACCATTTGGTCAAGAAACTGTGGCCATTGTTGTTTCAGTGGACTATGTAATAGATAAAATACGCGAATTAACTAATACACCACAGGCGGGAGTATACGCAAAACTGAATTCTGTAGGCAGCGCATTGCTGGCCACCTTTTGAGTGAGTTGTACGCACACAATTTCAAACGAATGATATATAAAAACTCGTTGGGTCTAGTTTTCATTGTCAAGCAAAAACTTTAGTACTTCGATTTGCTAGAAAGAAAAAATAAAAAAGTGGACAAAGTCACAAAAACCCATGTTTTTTGTCTGTTTGTATGTACTTTCCAAACTCGAAAATTACCAAGTTGAGCTCAAATTCCACAAAATTCCAGGTAGATGGTGCGGCATTCGAGATGCTTATACGTGAATATTTACAGTCAAATTTGATTAAAAAGGGAAGTGTGTATAATCCTAAAGTTGGCCTATTAGGTGTAGCTAGGATTGGAATATATCTTAAAACCATAAGTAGAGTCTGATTTGATTCAAAACTAAAACATATAAGAGAAACTTAAAGAAAATATCTTTAAAACCCGTATATTACTTAGTAGCGCGAATAGATTTATTTTAGCCCAAGTTGTTGAATTAAAAATGAGTTTACAGCTAAATTGGATTCAAATGCACAGTCATCCAAAATGGGATTTCACTCTTACTTTCAGGAGCGATAAAGTTCATGTGAGAGGACGGTTCTAGTCGCAGTTGACCTGTCAATGGCATTCGAAAAAGTGAATCGTGCGACCCTTGCCAAATTATGCTGCACCAGTTTGGTCGCCGGGGACTAGCAGTCGACGAAGCTACAGACTTGTCGGAACGCCGCACTCCGGACAGCGACAGGGTGCCTTCTAATGTCGCCTGAGCACTACCCACAAATGCTCTGTAAGCAGGTCCTTGTTAGGGGAGGGGCCTCCGCCTAGGCCCGTCAAGGGGCTCCTATTCATATATAAAGCCTCGGTCCAGACATACATCGACCAACCGCTGGGCCCGACGACGTATCGATGCCAGCAACCTCTGGACCCGACAGCCTACAGACAGGCCTTGAACGGCATTCACAGGGACTCAGTCTCGAGTTATGTAGACTCTAGACCTGTGAATGCCGTTCTAGGCACACCACCCCCGGACATTGACGAGACGGAGCTTCATCTGCCTCGGGAGACCCGCACCACACTTGCACAACTTCGCTCCGGCTACTGCAGCAGGTTAAACTCCTACCTGAGTAGGCTGAATGAGGATGTGCCTAATGAATGTCCGGCATGCGGAGAGACCCCACATGACTCGAACCATCTCTTCGCATGCCCGGCAAACCCGACATCCCTAACGACCTTGTCCTTATGGGCAAACCCCGCAGAAGCTGCACGCTTCCTAGGGTTACCGTTAGTGGAACTTGACGACAACGACTGAGATACCAACCGATCTGGGCGGGGTTGTTGTAGCCGCTACAACAACAACAACAACGACGTATCGACGAGCGATCAACGACATTCATAGGGAATCGGTCACCGCCTACCACGACTCCTCGCCTATAACCACAATAGCGCAACTTCGCTCTGGCTACTGCAGCAGGTTAAACTCATACCTGAGCAGATTAGACGCAGATATTCCTAATGAGTGTCCGGCATGCGGAGACACCCCACGACTCGAAACATCTCGTCGTATGCCCGGAAAACCCGACAACACTAACGCCTTTGTCCCTGTGGACCGACCCCATTGAGGCTGCATGCTTCCTGGGGCTTCCGTTAGTGGAGCTTGGCGACAACGACCGAAATATTAACCGATCTGAGCGGGGTTGTTGTAGCCGCTACAACAACAACAACTCCCGGCCTATGAATGCCGTGATCGCCACCTGTCGCAGAGATGGAGCTTCAACTGCCAAGCTCAATCCCACTCAACCAACACCCCTCTCGCTTTGGTCCGACCCCATTGAAACAGCCCGTTTCCTGGGTCCGTTAGTTGAGCTTGTCAATGATTGAATGGTGAACCGATATAGGTGGGGCTTAGTAGTACCGCTACCAAGACTTCGTCGCTTCTAGTTCGGACGAAAATGTAAATAACCAGCTATCTGTGTGGACGTTAATCATGAGTTGAAGCCCCGCAGAATTGCACGGGGTCTTCCTTTAAAGTGAATTACTCTCGCCGACACTGTTTAATACGTAGGTGGCGAAATTCCCCTTGCCGCCTACTGGAGTTAACTCTCTGAGCCACGCTGATGATTGTACGATCATGGCAATGGGGCAAAACATTGACAGCCTTACGGCAAAATCACTGACTCCCCGATCTTTTTACTACTGAAACTTCAAAATCTCTGCCGCGAAACCCATTACCACACATTTCGTAAAGACCACGCGTGAACGGGACGTCTACGTCGTTGGCGCCAAAATACCGACCATCAACCATCCCAAAATCACGTTTGACAGCCACTTGTCCTTCTCAGTGCACGCCTTAACCACCTGTAGCAAACTACGAGCCAGGAATAAAGTCACCAAGTCGCTAGCCGGCAGCACCTGGGGAGCCGACAAGGAGACCCTGCTCACTACGTACAAAGCGATTGCACGGTAGGTGGGAGATGGGTCGCATTACCAGTATAGTCGGCAGAAACGAGCAACACGCAGCGGAGAAACCTTCAAACCGGCCAGAACCCAGTTCTACATGCAGCTACAGGCTGTCATCTCCACTAAGAAACCCCCAGATACTGGCGGCGAAACAGCCAAATACCATGCTATCGCGACAACTCCTCGCGAATGTCACCATGGGGAACACCCCAAGAACGCTCTGCTTCGAGACGTGAGACGGCACTTGCCCGACTGGAGAACAGACATCGAGCAGTACACATACCATCGGTTTGACAGAGCGCTGTTTAGAGCGGCGCTCAACAACCTACCCAGCTGTGCCAGGACGAGTCTCAACCACGGTTGCCACTTTGGTAAAATGTTACCAAAAGTGGTAACTTTTTTTCTCTTTGGTAATTTGGTAACTTCCGATCTTATTTGGTAACTTTCAGGCAAAATGCTTAAATACATTAAAATATTTTTGAATATCATATCTGCGGCTAGGTCACATACACACAGCTAGTTTCCTATTGAATGAATTTGTGTTTGGCGATATGCACATATATACATATGTGCCATGAGGAGCTAGGGTCATGGTGTAGGCTCCGGTCTTTCAAATTTAGAGGATTATTATTTAAGTGATCCCACCGAAAATTATCTGAACGACATGCAGTGAAATATAAGACGAGATTTTAATATAAACCTGTCCTATCCTTGCCTCAAAAGGGATTTATTTTCGTACTACATAGTAGTTTTTTTTAAATGTTAAAGCTATTTCATTGATTTAAACTTTAAAATTGCTTAGAAAAATAAAAGTTGGTCATGAAATATGTTTAAATTTAATCAAATAAAATTCAAGGAATTGATCCAAAGGGGTGGAAATCTATAAATCAATGACTTCACTGGATCACAAATTTTAGTTTCCATTCTACCACTATATAGAATAGCTCGCTGATTCCGAAAGTCGAGTAAACTTTTTTCCTGTAAACAAGTTTTCGAGTTATTTGCAATTTATTAATTTTGTTCGACTTTAAAATTTTATAGAAAATAAAAATAGGTTTTCTCGCTTGTAAAAAAATATGAATGCTTTTAAAGTAATTTTGAATTGTTTTGGACAAGTTTTTCACATTTAACTTCTACAGCATACGGCTCATAAATGGGGATAAAAGTAAAAAATAAAAGAGCTTTGTAAATTTTTTTTGTGATGAAGTCAAGCTACTAACAAAGATAGTCGATAGATAAATGAAACTGTTGTGTGGCAATAGACAGAAGAAAAAAGGCTTTTAATATTTTAGGTAACTTTTTGGTAATCTTTTTAAAAAATGTTGGTGACATTTTTTCCAAGTGTATGGCAATTGTGGTCTCAACACCCATAGAGGCAACATGCGCCACCCATAACTATCGGAGAAGCAAAACTGTCGAGAGAGATTGCAGCAAGCTAAATTCTTACCTGAGCAGGTTAGATGTATGTAGATGTGCCCCACAAGTACCCGGCATGCAGCGAGTTATCCTACGACTAGAGCCATCTTTCTAGGTTTGGGCGCCTTTCTTCGCTGAAGTTTTTTTATGCGCCTTTTTTCGCGGTCAACTTTTGAACGTGCGCCTTTATTCGTGTCTAGTGACGATATGGTTTATGGAGAATTTTATTTTTAACGATTATTCAATTGGTTCGTAAGATATACATACGTGATTAAGTGAAGCCACTCTTTTTTTTAATTTGAATAACGGTAAATTGCAAATATATCGAAAAGTT